TACTGGGTGTTTAATAAGAATATCCAGACAAGGAATTTCCTGGTTTTTTTTAGGACCTCATTATCTTAGAAGAGAGCTACATAAAGAAACTTACAATACCTTGTGACAAGACAGGCAGGTGGAGAGTGTTTGCTGGAGGGTCATCAGCCCTTCAGAGAGATGACCCTGTGGGGGAGGGCAGAGCCGGGTTAGGAAACTCCCACACATTTCAGGAATGAAATGAAAGGATGGTGAAGCTACTCAATGGAACGGTAAGTCAGGGTACTCTGGGCACAGAGGGGCTGAATCTGTTATCTTGGGGGCACCTTCATGTGCCTATCTATGTGCCATACCTATCTGTATGGGGATAAGGTGTATATAGGAATTTAGAGGAAGAAAAGGTTGGAGAGCAAAACAAACATGAGCCAAGTCTCATGTGCCATATTAAGGATTTCAGATGACTTTGAAAGATGTTAAGGAAGGACATGATCGGAGTTGCATTTGAATGTATCTCTTCGGTGGCCAATTCTGGGTAGGGGGATGGAGTGGAGAGCTTCCCAAGGAAATGCCCATGAGAAGGCAGGAGGTCAGTGAAGCCCCACTTAAAAGTGCTGACGCCTCAAAGGGGGACTTCCCACATGTGTCCTATGTATAGTATAGGTCATTACCATCTTTTAAAATATTCTTCAGAAGATGAAATTTTTTAAATTATCTTTCATATAGCATTACTTCAAAACCAGCTTTACTAAAATGCACTGTTTTTATGCTTTTATAGAAGAAGCTCTTGTAGAAGATACACAAGTTTATGGGAAAATCAACAGTAATACTATTTATCAAGTTGATAGAAGTAAATCCTTCAATTTTTGTAAGCTTATAATAGCATCAAAAGTTAATGTGTTATCCTTTTCCTATCAAGAGTACAAAAGGCTTATTTCAAGGCCAGCCCCGTGGCTTAACAGTTAAGTGCGCATGCTCCACTACTGGCGGCTGGGGTTGGGATCCCAGGCACGCACCGACGCACTGCTTCTCCGGCCATACTGAGGCGGAGTCCCACATACAGCAACCAGAAGAATGTGCAACTATGACATACAACTATCTACTGGCTCTTTGGGGAAAAAAAAGGAGGAGGATTGGCAACGGATGTTAGCTCAGAGCCAGTCTTCCTCAGCAAAAAGAGGATTAGCATGGATGTTAGCTCAGGGCTGATCTTCCTCACAAAAAAAAAAAAAGAAGGCTTATCAATAATACTGCATTTGTCATTAAAGATCAGACTGATCCCTCTGTAAACTGCTTCAGTGGAAACTTTGAAAAATTGTTCATACATCATGTGTGATAAGATAATAAATTGATATTTAAAACACAGTTATAGTCATAGTGCCTTATGACTGAAACTAACACTTTTCCTCTTATTCGTTAGTGTATTTGTGGCCTAAGACTCCGTAAGCCCAAAATATGTTGCTTCATGTCAAGTCATCTTTAAGATCTTTCAGTTTAGTATATTCTTTCAACAATTATTTTCAAGAAAACTCTTTATGGAATAAATAGGATATTCCTTCTTTGCTAGAATACAGCACGGACCTACTGCCGCTTTCATGGAGCTTATCATATGGCGGGAAGAAAGGCTTTCAACAACTAGTTAACACTCGTGATGACGTAGCTTTGTGGGAGTTTATAGCAGGGGATCTAACTAGTCTAGGTGTCTGAAATGGTACCACTTACCCTGGGTCCTGCAGGATGAATGAGAACCAGCTAGGAGAAAGGGACTTGGAGGCCCTCAAGGTTGGCTAGGCTGATTTGTGTATTGATTTCCCACACATATATGTGCTGACAATGTGCCAGACACTGTTCTGTGTATTAGCTCATTTATGTGTATTAGCTCATGTGTATTAGCTCATTTAATCCTCCTAACAAGCCTATATGGTAGGTACCTTCCCATTTTAATGAGGAACTGATATGCAAGTCACACAGCCAGCAGGTGGAGGGTCAGATCTATGTTCCAGCCACACTTCCATGCTGCCACTTAGGCACCATAGAGCACAGTGAGGTCCTCTCTACAACCTTAGGAGTAGGAGTGCTTAGGTTGTCAAATTAGTGTTAAACTAGAAAGCCAATGTATAGTGTTTTAGAGCAAAGGTGTATAGATGATAAAATGACTTCTGGTAAAGGACTGCTTGATGGCATTAACATAATTTTTAAAAAGGTAAAACAATGTGTGCCAGAGATTATAAAACCAAGAACAAGGGCTACACAGGCATTCAGACTCAAGTACTACACGTTCTCAGTGGCCGTGCATGCTCACACAGGATTTGGACTCATCCACCTGTCTGAAGCAGCTGGCAATAATATCTGAATCATCCTGCCATCTCTCCTTGCTCTGAAATCAAGACCCCAGCAGCCTTCCGATAGCACTTTGGTTTTCCATATGGTTCCACCTACAAGGGCAGATGTGTGGTCGTGGTGCGAGCAGTGTGATCACTGAATTTCTCAAGATGATCGGTACATTTCCCTCCTGATTTACAAATCCATTCTTGTAAGCTTTCTAATGTGAGGCCACCACTGAGAGAGCGGCCCATTCCTGATGCACTAGTGAAAGCAGAGACCACATCCTGGACTAGTGGATTCCTTAGTGCAAATGCTGCCCTAAACCCAGCCTTCAGCAGCCAGCCAACCGGCCGTTCTCTGTAAACACCTCAGCTTCATTCGGTACTTTTCTTCCAAATGTCTGCATTTCTTGGTTTAGTTTGAGCCAGGTCTTCTTGGTAGATATGTTATAAACACTAAAATTTCTCAGAGAATAGTAATAGTTCACATTTCCTAAGTATTAACTATATGTTAACAGTAATTCTTGAAGGAAGATACTATGTATTCATTTTACAGGTTAGGTAATTGAGGCAGAGAGACATCAACCACCTTGCCCAAAGCCACACAGCTTGTAAGTGGCAGAACCAGGATTTGCAGACAGTCTGATTCCAGACCCCCACATTCAGCCACTGTGCCTTACTGCCTCTTGAAAGCACATAGGATAGCTGACTTGAGTTTTTTTCTGTGTGGGGACCAACACATTTTACCTTACAGTGAAGTGTGTTTTCAGAGGACCAATAAGTTGAAGAAAATATTGTCTTAAATATTTTATTATACCACATCTTGACAATTTTATTTCTTTGGGCAACTACTAAGTCAGAATGAAAACACAGTTGATTGGTTTAACCTCTATGTATTTTTTTTTCAGATCATGTCTTTCATGGTAATGAAAATGTGTAAAAATGTGTATGAAGGAACTGTAGTACCAATCCTAGAGTCTGCCATACAAGCTGCAGTGGTTTGTTTCACTGCAGAAACGTTGTAGTCTTGGGTGGCTGTTCAAATATTGATAGTTTACACACTGTAGATTCATTTTTCATCTTTGCATGTGGTTTGTTTTGCAGGTTCTGTATTTACCTGTGGGCGGATTGCTTTGGGAAAAACACATAACGTGATGGGTTCAGAAGACCATTTGAGAGTAATGCCCAGGGAAATTCATGACATTTTCTGAGCAATTAAGAAGCTAAATATCTTAGCTAAATTTCTAGTACATACAGGTAAAAGTAGTAATGTCTTCTCATGGTGAAAGGAAGTATGCTTACAGTTCTCTCTTGGTTATCCACAGGGAAAGAAGAAAGGCAGAGCATAGATTCACTTTTCCCCACAAACTTACTTTACAGAGTTCTTTCATTCTTTTCCTTGGATCCTGAAGCAGTAATACTCCCATACAAAAGTGGGCATTGAGGAACGGGAAAATCTTATCGCCTCCTTTGACGAGCTATCAGTGATCATTAAGCAGCAGAAGACGATAGATGTGGTTAAAGACAGGGAATAGAATCTAATCCATTATGACTGGTTTTCAGTTAGTGTTTTCATTACTATATTTTAATGATTGCTAATGTTCTTATTTGAACATCTGTTGGTAACGTTTTCTTTTGAGCTTAGAGAGTTGAACTAGGTGCTCTCCTCTTCTAATTCTATGATACTATACTTTTCATTATTTCTGAAACAATGCTTTTATATTTTTCTGTTTATTGTTGTCAATGTAGAACTATAGGGTGTTTTTTGTTTGTTTTAAAAAGATAACTTCTCAAGAATATTTTAATATTCAATAGAAGCACATAAGCATTCAGTAGTAGGCTTTCATAACTGGATGATCTCTGATGTTTTCACGTATTCTTTTCTTCTAGTTTCCTGATAGGGAATTTCTCTTACGTGTGTCTTACATGGAGATATACAATGAAACCATTACAGACTTACTCTGTGATACTCCAAAAATGAAGCCTTTAATAATTTTGGAAGACTTCAATGTGAGTAACAGAGTTAACAGAGCAGCTCAAAACATTAAGACTGACTTAATGGGGTTATTGTTCATGAACATTTACCTTTGTTTTCTATGTTTTTTAAAGTGCCTCCTGTTTCTATGGTATATTTTTTGTTTTCTTTCTTAAGTGTTTATAGAGATCATCTTTTAAGCAATATGTATAGTTTTTAAATATTGACAGCTGTAATATTTTGGTGTAAGTGCCTAATCAGAGCAAGATGGAAGTATCAGGTTAGAATTTATGTGCTTCAGTAAAGAAAATAAATTGTAAATATCATAGGTTTAATTGCTATTTTCATACAAAATAATTGTCCCTATTTGCTACTTTTAACTTCCACAAATGATTTCTCTAATAGTTTGCACCTTCTTTTTGAGATGCAGACTTTTAAGTGACTTCTATTTCTCTACTATCCCTATCATTAAACTTATTTCAGAGGAATGTGTATGTGGCTGATCTCACAGAAGAAGTTGTTTATACACCAGAAATGGCTTTGAAGTGGATCACAAAGGGAGAAAGTAAGACTTTTTGCTGTGTTTCTTCGAAACACTTGTAAAAACTATTCAGTTGAATGTATGTAGGCTTCAAATCACACTTTTCACTTTTAAGCTAAAATAAAAGTTAATGTTTTTCTTTGGATTTAAATATATGCAGCTGAAATGTGACTGATTTTTACACAGAACAGACATTATGGAATTAGAAAAATGAATCAAAGAAGCAGTCATTCTCATACCATTTTTAGGATGGTAGGTAATTCTCTCTCTGCTTGGTCTTTCTCATTAAGAATACACTAATTTTTCTACAAGTTGCCTTTTCTGTCTAGATTTTGGAAAGCAGAGAGAAAGATGAACCCTCTAATTGTGAAGGATCTGTCAAGGTGTCCCATTTGGTGAGTGTTGATGAACCATGATGATGTACTCTACAGACCAAAGCAAAGTTTAATTCAGCTGCTGAATGTTTGGTTTCGGAAGAACAGTCAACTGAACTCAATAGGCAAAAACATGCATAAATGTATAAGTTGGTAGTTTATTCTCATCAGTAGCATGAGATTACTAGTTAAAATGTAGGAATAATTCAGAGGATCTTTTCTCCTGTTCTGTTATGGCTGCCATCTCCTAAAATCTAGATGTAAAGACTGTAGAAGTTCAGGCTTTTCCTAAACCAGTAATGAAGGAGGGTTTTGGGGGGAAAGGGTTCCACACACATTAAAGAGTTAAAGGAATCTTGGAATTTGGAGATTTTTTTCATTGTAGTCTCAGCCAATAGAATTAAGACTTGTGAGATCAACAAAAACCTGGGTGAGATGTTTAAAAAATAAACCATATTATTCAAATCCATTCTTAAGTACAGTAAGAAAATACATTTTATATTAAAAACACAGTGTTTTACACTATAAATCTCCCGAAGAGAAGAGTGATCTCTCATTCATCTTTGTAGCCTCAGCACATTGTACCTAGTTTATCTTCAATACTTGTTTGTTGAATAAGTGAATATAAATATCATGCAAACATTCCTTCTTTCCACATAAGTAAACCTCCCATTTCCTTCTTGCTGCGCTGTATCGATGTTCTCTCATTTTTGTGCTTCCTTCCTATTTCTTACCATTATTGCTTTGTTCTTTGTCTTCAGGGCCTAAATTCTTTAGCTTGATGTGGGATATAATTTAAGATTACTCTATTTGATTTGAAAACTTCAGGGAAAAAAGTAATAAATCTATAATATGCTTATTCACTTTTAGATTTTGAAAAATCAGTCTTAATTAAATATCTAATTCTAGTTCACCTCAGTTATTTTACTGTAGAAGTATAAAATTTAGTAAACTAGTCCTGCTTTAATTCAACAACAACAATAAACATAAAACCTAACTTCAGTTTTGTTTTTCAAACCTGGCCTGTCATATTTCACTACAATTTGAGCTTTTCTCTTAATAATTTAGCTTTAATACTCTTGACCTATTCAGTGATCCATTTTTGGACTTTTCTCATGTTCTTTGATGCTCTATCATCTAGAGACCTCAGATACCATCCAGTCCAACCCTCCAGCCTCCCACTCACTCTAAGTATCTTCTTGGAAAGCAGCCTTCCCAGTCATTTTCTGGCTCTTTGGAGTGGGCCTTTGTTTGAGTGTCTCCTGGCCTTTCTGGGAGAATAATATCCAGGTTCTCTTAGCTCTGCTCCTTCTCTGTTCCCTTCTGTAGCTTCCTTTCCTACTCTCTTAACAAAAACTCAGGCGTGTTCTGTGGCCTTCCTTACTTCCCGTGCTTGTCCTCAGACATTCTGTTAGTATTTCTCTGTTATGACAGCCAAATATTTATTTTTTCTAGTCTCTAAATTCTAATTCATATCTTCCTAAAGATTATCATAACTGTGTGTCCCACTGTCATCTCAAACTTCAGTGTGTCTAAAACCAAGTTAATTTCTTCCTACTGTGATGAATATTCCTTTTTTCCAGTAAAACCAGCATTGTCCTGGTCACCTAGGCTGGAAACCTAAGTCAGTTTTCCTCATCTTTTTCTGCCTTCCCTTTTGCCCAGTCGTCACTGTTTCTTATCGATTCCACCCTTCAACACTCCGTGGGTGTCATACTCATTCAGGTCCTCGTCTCCCTTGAATTACTGTATCATTCTCCAGGACCTGGCCTCCATGGCTCTGGCTTTCCTTTCTTGAGCCTGTTATGCAGATTTCTAATGTTACTAAGCTTCTGTTGTGTCACTTCCCTGGACAAGGTCTGGCCACTTTTTTTGTTTGTGTGTGTGAGGAAGATTAGCCCTGAGCTAACATCTGTCCCCAATCCTCCTCTTTTTGTTGAGGAAGATTGGCCCTGGGCTAACATCTATGCCCATCTTCCTCTACTTTATGCGGGACGCCACCACAGCATGGCTTGACAAGTGGTGCGTCGGTGCACGCATGGGGTCTTAAGCCCAGGCCGCCGCAGCAGAGTGCGCGCACTTAAATGCTACGCCACCTGGCAGGCCCCCAAGATCTGGCCAGTCTTAGCCAGTCTAACTTGACGTTCTTCTGCTCCATGTGAGCTCCTCTCTTAAAGGTAGATTGGGCTTCTTAGTGTCTGAACACTAATGCTTGTTCCCATCTTTATACCTTAATTCCTGCTGCCTTCACCACCACTTCTCCCTTTATTATGTATCTAGGTCATCTGTAGTAGATACTGTACAATAAAGGCTAGACTTGAGTATTTTAGAGAAAGAAGTATCTGAGATAGGACCATAAAGTGAGAGTATATCATTACCTGCCCACCACTGGAAATCTCCACAGAGAGAAATAATTTAAATCTCTGACTTCCTTTTAATGCATTAAGAATATTTACTGAGCCTTTGCCCTGTTCTGAGCATATACTGGGCTCTGAGATTAAAGGAATAGAGAAGACATCCATCCATACTTACTGTTTCCACTGCAACCTCCCCAGCCCAAGTCATCTCCACTCAGATTCCTGCACCAGCCTCCTGACTGGGCTCCCGGCTGCCACTCTTGCCCTCTCCATCCGTTCTCACCCAGGGGCCACGGGTGGCCCTACAGAAAGTTAAATCAAGGTATGTCACTCTCTTGTTAAAGCCCTCTAGTGACTTCCCATTGCATTTAGAAAATCCAGTTCTTACCCTTGCCTACAAAGCCCTGCATAATCTGAGCCCTTCCTACTTCTCTTACACTGTCTTGTCCCATCTCCACTTCACCAACTCTGCCACACTGCCCTTTCTCTTTCTTGAACACACAAAGCTCATTTCTGCTTTGTGACTGGGTGTACTGGCTGTTCTTTAATCTGGAGTATGGTTCCTTTGGTCTTTGCATGGCTGGCTACCTCTTCTCTATCATTCCAGATCTTAGCTAAATGGGAAACCTAATGGCAGGCCACCCAGTCCTAAGAACCTACTCTGTCCTTTCCTCTTCTCTCCTCCAGCAATCTGTTTAAATTGTTTGTGTTACACTTACCATGATATGTTGCTTATTTGTCTTTTTCTCTCCTCTCACTGTCTTCCTCCCCCAATACCACCCCATGGAGAATATAAGCTCTATGGGAGCAGGGTCCTTGTTTGTCTGGCTCACTGCCATGTCCCTAGCATCTAACATGCTGCCTGGAGCATGACAATCAGTCACTTTTTTCCAACAATATTTGTGAAATGAAAGAGAGGCCCATGCTTTTCAAGATGCTACAGTGTAGTCAGACATAAACAACTAGTTCAACACCCTAAGTGCTATAAGAATAAGTCATATCTATCATATAAAGACCTCTGGGTACACAGCTGAACGAGCAGTTCATTCAAGGTGTGGGGAAGGAAGGATCAAGGAAGAGCTACACTGAGAAGGTAACATGTGCGTTTGGTCCTGAATAGAGAGTGGGGGTGGACTAGAACATCAGAACTAGCTAGACAAAGGGAAAGGCAAAGTTAGCAGCACATGGTGTGAGGCACAGTACGCAGCTCACCTACAGCTACGAGCAAGTGGTGGGCAGGAATAAGTCTGGAGCCACACAGAGTCAGGTTGTGAAGAGTCGTGTTCGCCATGGTAAGATTCTGAACTGGGAAGCCTATCCCGGCAGCATTATGCGGGAGGTATTATAAAGAAGAAACAAGCTATAGAGGTCCGTTTCACTCATACAAAGGAAGGCCTAAACAGTGGGGTGAGAGACAAGCATACAGATGCCATCTTCAGATAAACCCTGGGTTACAAACGTTCTTTCAGTAGTTGGGATTTTATTATTTCAAGTTACCCTTCCTAAAGGTTTATTTTCGTCTCTGTTACAGAATTTGGTTGATCTTGCAGGCAGTGAAAGAGCTATTCAAACAGGCGCTGAAGGTAACGAAAACTCTTGAAATATGTTGGTCTGAATGTCCTCTTGTTCTTTTACAGAATAAAAGTGCCACCGTGCATTTTAGAAACTGATAAAGTAATGATAATAATTTTATTATGAAAGTGTTTAATGTAACAAGCAGCTGCTGTATCCGGCTAATTATCTACTTCGAGCGACTACAGCATCAATTAAAAACTAAAACTCTGCAGTTGATAGGACTGTAAGCTGGTAAGCTCCTGAAAGTACCATGAAAACTGTAATCCTTAAGGAAATTTAGAAAGGTAGTTGGGTACAAAATTAATAGATAGACATTAATAACTCTCATAATACAACAATCAGTTAGAGTATTTATTGTACAAAAAGACTCCATTTACAATAATGACTTAAATGATGTAATACCTAGGAAGGAACTCAGTCAAAATTGCATAAGAACAAAAAGTGAATATATATAGCTGGAGAAGGAAATTCCTAAGTTAAAGCAGCAAAATGAGCAACTAATAAAGCAAAAGAATGAACTGTTAGAGTAAAATCTGCTTCTATGATATAGAAATTATGCTTATGGGTGTTACATGTGGGGGGGATGATACATACACAGCCGTAAATATTTTTTTCAATTGACAACCCTTCACACGTATGGGGAAAGTGATTATTAGAGCTCATGTAATGTGTCATTTTTAAAGGAATAAGAAAATGGTAGCACCATTCCAGGTGTTTTCTGTCTATCGACTGACCTATTTTTAACTAAGCTGAGAACCAGGAAATAAACAAAGATCTTTGACACAAGTCTGTATACCCAAGTCAATGAGGCTCTACTCAGAGGAGAGCCCTGTAGGTCCAATATTGTAACCTATTTACTTTGACTTTATAAAGTGTTCTAATAAATTTAATTATTTGGCTTCTACCAAAGATTAAAATCTTGTGTAATCTCTACTAATGATACAATAGAAGAAAAATAGGCATCAACAAAATAATTGTGCAAATAACTAACTCTTTGTAATGAGTGCTATTAAACAAACAACAACAAAAAACCAAATAGGACATTATGGAAAGGTATAACCGAGGGATCAAACCTTACGTAGGTGTGGGGAGGGGAGCTGATCAAGAGACTGATACATAAGAGTGGATCTGAAAAATGAATTAGGCTCCATGAAAGAAGAGATGAGTAAGCCTTCTAGGCTGAGGGAGCAGAAGTGCACAGGCTTTGAGTCAGGAAGAATAACCAGTTGGTGGAACAGAAAGGCATCCAGTGTGGCCAGGGCACAGAGAATAGGGCAGAGTAAGTGCAAGATGAGATGCCAGAGGTAGCTGGTCTAGATTACACAGTGTAGGTCATTCTGAGGCAGTTTGAGTGGTGTCCTAAATGTAATGGGAGGATTACCTCCACCAGAAGATTTTAAGCTGGGGCCTGATGAGCTCAGACAGCATCTCTTGCTGCTAGAGCAGTATAGAGGAGCCCAATAGGAATGTGTTTGTTGTAGTCCGGGCAAAAGATAATTTTGGCATCGACTGGAATGGCGCCAACGGGGGTAAAAATAAGGAGATGAATTTGAGACATAAGTATGAGGTCGTGTGAACAGGCTTGGCTGCCTGATCAGGCAAAGGGGAGCGGGGCCAGGACTGCTCCCCAGGATTCTCTGGAGGAGCTGGCTAAATGCAGGTGGCATTCCTGTAGGAAGCAAGGCTGTAAGTACTCCAGAAGAGCACAGCGTAATACTTCTTTTAAACTAACAAACGTACATTAAAGATTCATCCATCCAGAAGACTAACTTATCAAATGACTGCCACAAAGTATCAGTAGATAAACTACTCTGGATGATATCATTGATTCATCTGAAACCTAATGTCATACTCTGAGCTTTCTTTTCGAGACTCCATGATCACAGAGATTTACTATAATTATTCAATTTATATTGACTTCTTTTCATTTTGTGAACTGTGGAAATAGGCTGAACAGACAGCATAGGTTGAAATTAAAATATAAGTATGATAAAATGGTAAATTATGTGTTATGTATATTTTACCATAACTAAATCATTTTATGTAAATGTGAATACATTTCTGGAATTGAGCAGTCTTTCTTATAGTCTCTTTTTTCCCCCCATATTTAAGCAATAATCCTCATCTTTCCAATGAGGTCAAAACATGGAAGGAGAGAACCCTTACAAGAGAGGCTCACAAAGAAGTGACTCAGGCGAGTTCCCCAAAGTCTCCTAAGGGGACCGGAGCAGCTTCTAAGAAGAAACAACATATGCCTTCTCAATGCAAGGAACAGGATTCACAAGATCCTGTGCCAAAGGAATCACCAAAAGCTTGGTTTTCTGATAGCCAATCAAAGTCTTTTCCAGCACCTCATCCAGTTTGCTATTTTGATAACTCAAGTTTAGCCCTCTGCTCAGGTGGGTAAATGTACTGTTTACTTGGAGACTGGGGGTAACGGTTGGAACTAACCTGTAATGTGTGGCCCCAAAGGGGAAGCTTAGACAAGAGAAGACATCATGGAGAAGCTACAGTGCGCAGACCTCGTCTGCTGTCTCTGTGACAAGCTTCTCCACAGCCCAGCACTGAAGTGGAATCCCCTTTTACCCCAAGTGAAGACATATTCTGCCTGCTAAACCCTCAGCTTTTCTCTTGGATAGACAAGCAGCTCTCTCAAGGACATAAAGACACTACCCCATAAACAAAACTACTTCTACTGAAAAAGACTCTTATCAATTCAATGGGCCAGTATTTCCAATAGCATCATATTCATTTCACACAAGCCAGATCATAGACTTGTATCATTTACTTATTAGTTCATTCAATCAACAGAATTTTTTGGTCTCCAACTACATGTCACATATTGGACCCTGATGGTATATTGATAAGCAAAACCAGACATGGCCCCTGCCGTTCTAGAGCTCACAGTCTAGTAGGTATAGACAGTGAGCAAGTAGTAAAAAAAAGCACAGTTCTAGAGTGCAAAAGGCTATAATTGGTTTTGTTTAATGAATATAAGGAAGTCTTCCTTGAAGAAGATGACTGAGATCTAAGAAGTTAATATGAGTTAGCTTAACAAAGGAGAGGGGAAGATGTTTCAGGCAGATAGAACAGTGTTGGCCCAGCGTAGAAGGGATCATAACCAGAGGAAGGGCTGGAAGAAATACGTGTGGCCAGAGCACAGTGCCCACAGGCTTCTGTGGGTGAAGTCAGGGAAACCAGAGAGAGAAGAATCGGACATGCAGGACTTTGTAGGTTGTATAGAGAAATTTTCACTTCATCCTGAGAGCACGCTAGAGGAACCTTTGAAAGATGTTAAATAACAGCAGGGGAACATAATGGGGTATAAATGTGAAAACATTACCTCAGCTCTGAGGTAACCAACAAATAACAGGAGCACGAGTTGATGATAGTTGTCTGAGCAAGAGTGACAGAGCATGGACCGGGGCAGGCGCAGTGGAGACAGAGAGAAGTGGACAGATGGGGGAGACTGGGAGTCAAGTCAGCAGTCTGGGCCCCTGATCGATGGAGTGGGGTGCTGTCAGGGGCCCCCAGCTCTACGGGGCGCTGTGCACAGAGGTGGGGGCATTGCAGGAGAAGCTCTGTGATGCTGCATTTCTCCTGGGCTCTCTCACCACACAGCATCTATCATGTGCTGGTGTGCGAGGCTGGAGCCCTCTGTGTCAGTGCACCTGCCTGTCAGAAATTCCCGATTGTGCAGCCGGAGGGACCAAAGCAACCGGCCTGTACACTGAGGAGGCAGATGCCCAGTGACCTGGAGCCCTGAGCAGAGGTGGCTCTCCATGAGACCTCTGCTTGGGGACGAAGAAGGAATCAGTCCCTTCTCATCCACTGCACGTCGAAATTAGATCAAGTCGCAGTCTGAGAGCGCTCTTGGGGATACGGGAAGGCACGCAACAATTTGGAAAAATTTGTGACCTATTCACTTCACTGAATAGCATTTAACAAACATGTAAGGACTTCTGTTAGCTAGCACTTACATGGAACTTTTGGTGTGTACACACACACACACACACACACACTATTTTAGAAGAGTTTTAAAAAACTGAGAAGCTTTTATAATCGCCTTTGACTTTACCTGAAAGTGTCAGAAGCACGTGCATGATCTGAATTAATCCACAAATACAAATGCTTAATTCATTTTATCAAGCCTGGATCTCTCTGGTACTGTTTTTAAGTGAAATAAATAAAAGAGTGGTCTGGAGGAATATATAAATCAAAAACTGACCAATTCAGAATTAATGGACAGTCCCAGCTTGAGTTAGTAAAATACCAGTCTAAAAACATTTTAATGTCAGTTTTTAATTTTAATTATAAAAGAATCTAAATTATCTCAACAGTTGAACATACGTGGCAAGACCAGTTATTCTAGATTTACTTTTATGAATATAATTTGAAAATGAATATTGTTTCTAAACAAATAGATGCAGCTGAAGTGCATACTAAAGAGTCAAAGTTTTCCAAAGATAACTAAATATTCTCTAAAATACATATTATTTGTTTATCACACAATTTTTTTCCTAAAAATAGGGCAAAAGAAAACCAAACTTAATTAATACATGTTTGATTCACTTTGAATCTCAAATTGATGAATTCCAAATAAGAATTTATCACTTCCTGGTTTTATCTACAACATGATCTTTCTAACAATTCATTTTATAAGAAAATGGAGAGCAAGGGCTGGCCCTGTGGCTTAGCAGTTAAATGCACATGCTCTGCTCCTGGCAGCCCAGGTTCCGATCCCGGGTGCGCACCGACACACCGGTTGTCCAGCCATGCTGAGGCGGCGTCCCACATACAGCAACTAGAAGGATGTGCAGCTATGACATACAACTATCTACTGGGGCTTTGGGGAGAAAAAGGGAAAATGAGGAGGATTGGCAATAGATGTTAGCTCAGGGCCAGTCTTCCTCAGCAAAAAGAGGAGGATTGGCATGGATGTTAGCTCAGAGCTGATCTTCCTCACAAAAAAAAAAAAGAAAGAAAATGGAGGG